ATATATATATATATATATATATGTGTGTGTGTGTGTGTGTGTGTGTGTGTGTATATATGTGTGTGTGTGTGTGTGTGTGTGTGTGTGTGTGATTCATATGCAAGCTAACGAGGACACACACTCACAATACAAAAAAATGCAAATAGATTTGACAATCTCAGAGATGATGTGAGGATAGGGGCCATCTATCATCAACCCATCTCTCATCGCCACCACTATGGCCAAACCTAATGATTTTATTACCACTTACACAGAAAGTCAATTTTGCCAACATTCGAAAAAATGAAGGTTAAGTATAAAGTTTAAATATTTGTTTATTCCGAGAAGAAACGAATTTAGTAATTTTAGTCAGGCTCCAATACATATCATATAACTTCAAGAGATTTACTATACCAAAATAATCTATTTGAAAGTTCTTTCTAAACTTCAAGAGAGTCACTATCGATTACATATTAATATACTTCACAATACTCCTCGTTTTTCAGGACATTATTAAAGCTTAATTGGAGTACCGGTGAGATTATCTATTAGGAATTAACAGTTTCATGAGAAAGAGGATTATCGTGTAACATAGAAAGTTAAGCGCCTCTGTCAGAAATATGAAACTGACTGGTTGTTTCAACTTTTCTATGTGTTGTTCTCTTTCAGGTCATGTGCGACCATGGCTCACCAGAATTGCTTGTCCTCCGTAGCTCTTAGTAAAGTTTGTCTTTTCGCGATCTCTATCGATAAAAGGCAGTGTGTGTGTGTGTGTGTGTGTGTGTGTGTGTGTGTGTGTGTGTGTGTGACGAATGCACGGCCGCAATTTTCGACGGATTTGCACCAAAATTTACATGCACATGCTCCAAGTTAGCGAGAAGGCCAACACTGAATTTGCATTTCCCAACTCCCACCGATAGCGGAAATAATCGAATTTTTCATGCTTCTACGGCAGTTTTCACGTAGTTTGCGGCCATTTTAACTGGCTGCCACGAATAGGCAGCAAGATTCTATTGGCCAGCCTGAGAGTCAACGGCTGACTGACACGAATGTTAACTATCATACTAGCATGCAAAAAAAAAATCGATAGCTGCATTCGTCACAAGTGGGAAAAATTTAAATCTGCATGGCACTTTACTCCAATTGGCTCATTCGCTTGCTTAAACTCAACGTTGATTCTGATTCCGCAGAACTGTGTTGGGTGTGAAAAAATTTTGTTGTTAACATTCTTTTTTCATTCGGTTTTTCCAGTTACGAGTCTTTTTTTAAAGCTGATCGTTTTGTATTCATTTTGTCTAGTTCTTTAGTTTTTTTTTTTCGATTGCTATATGAGTCGTATGATTTTTGAATCAAGCACGGCAACGCCGAGCCATGCTGCTAGTATATATATATATATATATATATATATATATATATATATATATATATATATATGAGGAAAAACTTAACACATCTCGAAAAATCCGTAAAGAAATTTCCCTCATCAGAGCGGAACGACAAAATTGTTTTTAAATAAATAAATAAATCACAAAAGAACAGTTTTCTTGTGATTTATTTTTAATTCTTTTCAAAATATTGTCTGGATAAATTTAAAACATTTTTAAATTCCGTTGTGACGAGGCATGTATTACCCGCAGAAATAAATGTATAAATTTATTATCGGATTTTTAGACATCTGTTAAGTTTTTTACCTTTTATGAATATCATATTTCTTTGTATACAACACTTTGAGCTCTTTTCATAGATCTATCGTTTTAATATTTCATAGAGCTATCTTTTTAATATTTCATAGATCTATCTTTTTAATATTTTATATTAAAAAGACCTACTCCACTTACAGATTTGATATAACCTATCTATCTCTCTATCTATCTATTTATCTATCCATCTATCGAGACGTTACTTTTTAAATTAGTGAAATTAATTTATACAAGATTATACTAGACATTGCAAAACTCAGTAACCCTTTTTGAAGAAATGCATATACTCACTTTGGGAACGTTCGAAATCGATATCTGCTAAATTTATTTTCGTGCCTGAGAGAAATACAAATGAATTATTAACCAATTAATAAATTTACTTATATGACAATATTTTTCAATACTATACTGACAGTTGCTTTTGGAGATATCTCAATAATTAACATTGCAAATTTGTCTACCGGCTTGGGGATCGAAATGTTAATAAAGATCATAAGGTTTTCTTTATTTTTTTTTTTTAGTATCGGAAGCTACTTTCAAGCCAAACATGTTTTCTCACTTAAAGACAGGAAGCATTACAGTTAAAGCCAGAAGAATAGTGAAAAAATCCATTAATTGAACGTGCGAATATATATATATATACATACATACATACATACATACATATATATATATATATATATATATATATATATATATATATATATATATATATATATATATAATGTGTATGTGTGTGTGTGTGGAATATATTCTTTATATGTAAAAACCTTGTTAAAAAATTGTAAAAACTAAACGGCTTTGTTTCTTTCAAATTAAATGAAAAAGAAAGCTTATATTTATATCCAAAAATAAAATTATTTAAATTTGTAGAATTGTGTTTGTTGATTATTTATTTCATTAGCTTTTCACATACATTTCCTTTGCAAAAAAAAGATTACAATTTTAGCGTCTGCTCTCCTTCGATCGGATGTGTAACCGCGTCAAATTAAATATCTCTTTAATTCGATTAATTCCGAAAGGACGAAATGTATCACACAAGAACTTTTTTTTACACATCATCATTAATTTTCCTAATCTCTCTCTCTCTCTCTCTCTCTCTCTCTATATATATATATATATATATATATATATATATATATATGTGTGTGTGTGTGTGTGTGTGTGTGTGTGTGTGTGTGTGTGTGTGTGTGTGTGTGTTGTGGATTCCGGTTTGAAATCTGGTACCAATAAATAACAAACGCCAGGAATGAATATATGAAAATAATGTATTAACGTAATAATACAAACTGGTAAAGCAGGTTAGTAATTCCAGGAATACGGGTTAGTAGCAATATATATATATATATATATATATATATATATATATATATATATATATATATATATATTTGGTCTTTGGTATTGAAGTATCGCTGTATGACTTCTTATTGAGTCTACGTGATCGCTCACTATATATATATATATATATATATATATATATATATATATAGATAGAGAGAGAGAGAGAGAGAGATTTTCACTGTCGCAACGTTTAAATGTAGCCATCTCTTCTACTCCAATATATTCATATTTCGCACTTCCCGACAGTGGAAATCCCTTCCTCGTAATTGCTTCCCTGATAGCTATACTCTTCAAATATTCAAATGTAATGTCAATCGACATCGTCTGATACGTTGATCTTGATTCCAGTCTTTCTCTTCATGCATTCCTCAAGCATCCTTCTTTACTCTTGCTCTCTAACCCCCTTCGTGCTAGTGGAACTCCCGCCTTGCTTGGTGTGATATGTTTAAAAAAAAGAAAGACAGACAGGCAGATAGCGTGATAGATAGAATTATATCAAATGGGAATTTTCTGAAATCTATGAAATGTAATTATTCTCAAGTAAACATCTTCATTGACAAATTTTGTTATTCCTTTTGTTATTTATGTTTTAGCAAAAATTTATAAGTTGACGGAATGCATATAACCTAGCCATTCAAACTTTGTAATTACTTCACAGCCATCGCCTATAATATTTGCTATATTTATAATCACAATCGATTACTATAAGAACTTTTAAAGTTTAAATCAATGAAAAACGTCTGACTGAAATGACGCCTCCAAATAGATCGTTTCTGGAAATAATTAACTTCATAACTGAACGCGTCGTAAAAAATGTCAACATCTTTTTCCTTTACACCTCGAGTAAACGGTGACGATAGGTTGTAATTGGAACTTCATTCTTTAAGCCTCCTTTTCTTTTCTTAGCCTCTTTTCAGTAAGGAAAACATGTTGGTAAAATAGTAGAGAGAAACAGACCATAACCTTTTTGCATAAAACTCAGGTCACCCCTATCGTAAACTCTTCATCAGTCTCTCTCCTTTACAGATGCACCTTGGCCCGGCGTAAGATTACTTGCTGGAAGGAGTCCAGTTCAAGATGTCAGTTCTGATCACATCAAAGTCTGGCCTAACAAATTACTTCTGTCTCCACACGCAAACTCTGCTTGACACACAAACATCTCTAAATATATTCAGCTTCGACAGATGATAAACATTTCTTTTTTGTCGAATGGTTGAACGCTTTTATTTATAACTACGATCGCAATGGGATGATAGGATTCTGCTCAAATAAGGAAAGTAAGAAAATGGGAATCAAGAAAGGAATATTAACATTTTCGAAGTATGGGAAAAATTCACGAAAGACAATGGCGCGTTTTATATCAGAGACGATCCCAGAAACATATATGCATTTAGAGAAATGAAAGGTCGAGTGGGCTCGTATCATATTAAGGCAATAGGAAAAACCTTTTTGGATACTGGAAAATGTCAGTCTTGTCTATTTGGGGAAAAATGAAAAGCGAGATATTTAATATGGCAATCATAATTATATATATCTATGTGCGGGTATTGTAACGGTAAACGACTCGAAAAAAGAAATCAGCGAGCTGAATTCGAATGCTGGATTGCACTCACTTTCACACAAATAGCCAAATAGTGAAAGTTATGAATCAATTACTTCTCATCTTGGCTATATGTCGAATAGCAAAACTGAAGACGGTTGGCAACCATTGACAGATTTTTTTACGGCTTATAAACCTTTAGTAGGTTAGTAAAAGCCAGAATATTTAATTGTAAGATTTTTGGGGATAACAATATTTTTTTATTACTGATACAAGTTGAACGAATTAACCCATAGATGGGGAAGAAGATGTGAATTCATATCTTTCCCAATGGTATTTGCGCGTAAGGGAATATAAAGAACCTAACGGAAATTGGAACTCGGTTCTCCGATTAAAAATTCCTAGTTATTATCCATTACACCACCCGCACATCCAAGCTTACAGCACCTATTCTTGCCAGGGGGTCAGTCATCTAGGTACTGACCAAACTGGACGTTACTTAACTTCGGTGTTCGTACAAGAATTGGTGTTTCAACGTGATATGGCCGTAAGATAACGCGATAAAAACTTCGGTAAACATGGATATTCGTGCGCAAAAAAAAAACACCGTGTCAAATGGGTGTTTTATTTTTTCCCATGACTTTGCTTTCGGTTTAACTAGCTTCTCTTTTAGGCAATCTTTATTGTTTCAAAAAGCGATTATTAGAACTGTAATGAAACCTAAACATATGATGAATTTATACATTTGCTTTTGTTCTTGAGAATTTAAAACGAAATTAAGGACTATTTATGTATTAGACACTATATTTACAAGAATAATTTTATATTTACAACATTATAAAAACTATTATGATTAAAACTAATGCAATGCAATATTTATCATTTGCCCATTTGTAAAGAAATAGATGTGAAAACAATTTTTATTCATAAATTTATAAACATTTACTCAATTATTTAAATATGCAAACCAACTATATGTAAATTCGTTTTATTTACCATTTTATAAAATTCCAATCAATTGACAATTAGCCGATGTTTTACCAACAATTCCAATGAATAATATAATCAATATATTGTGTAAATAAACAATCAAATAAACAGTATTCATTATTTTGCTGTCAATTCTCAAGAACAAAGAAAATCTATAAATTCGCTTTCGTATGTTGAGATTTTATAACAATTGTAATAAGCTTTTCAAAAGAATAAACACTGAGGAAAGTTGAAGGTCATTAAAGAGATGGGTACCATGGGAAAAAGAGTCCATTTCACAATGCATTCCAACACCCCCACCACCTCCATTCCGGGCACGAAGGTGCATGTCTTGTATTTATCTATTTATCCATTTATGTATTTATACTTACCTGAATAGACTTCTTTATCTTAATTATTTGACGCATGCGCAGTTATTAATATCCGTCACTCAGTTATTTCACGTTTTATTTATTCTTTGCGTTTTTTGGTTTTTTTTAAAAAAAACATTTTTCTTATAAATCTTTCCCAGACGCGTTTTGCTTTTCTGAGCAAGTCTGAATACACCTTTATTATTGTTGTGTTATTTGTTTATTGATGTTATTCGAAAAACTCCGTAGATCCATCGGTGTACAGATTGTTCGACATTTTGACTTTGTTTTTTTTTTCCTGTTTACAGTTAAGATAGATTCGAGAAAAAAGTTTCTTCATTTTAATCTTTTAAAAAAAAATCCTTATTTATTCTAAGACGAGTCAGTTGTTTATAGTTTTTTTTTTTCATTAGATTTATGACTGTTAAAACTAGCGTACTGTCGTTTTCGGAATTAAATCTCGTTGACAACGTGAGTTTCAGTCAAAATAGAAAAGCCTGAGAATTATCAGTAGATCAAGTTAGAGGTACGTATCATATGTATGTCAGTTTGTGAAGAAGTTAACTATATCAAAAAGAAGAAGAATATTACTGAGCGTCTATTTTCTAATGGTTAACGGGTCTCAGAATTATAGGAGTAATTGATATACGCCTTAACGTTTAAAATATGATTATTTGTTTTTAATATTTAGATTATATATATATATATATATATATAGAGAGAGAGAGAGAGAGAGAGAGAGAGAGAGAATATACCTACATACACTCATAGATAGATACGAGTACAGTTTGAAAGATAATTCGAGCAAATGCTAAACATTTAAAACAATATGAAAAGCGTCAATTTCGACCTTAGACTGAAAAAGAAAGAAAGAAAGAAATATCTGCAATATTATTGCTACTGAGCTGGCATCTCAGCTTTAGTTACATTTCCACCGCTGTAACGTAGATTTTGTCTGCCTTTTCTAAAAAATATTTCCATGGTAATAGTTCTAATGAGCCTTCCTCTTTAGTACCTAGAAGGATGTATCTAAACGTACCACTTCAATGACGGAAGGATCTCATCATTTTACAAATGAAACCTCTAGGTAAAACCATAAGTTCTATCCTGTGTTTCTTCTCTCGCACTTCTCGTTTATGGAACTAACTCCAAGCTTCTTGCTTTCCAGTCAATTTCGATCTTCAAAAAAAATGCAATGTCAACCGTTATTTTACTGAAAATGGAGATTAATTTCTAAATTAAATGGAATTACATTTCGCATCCTATAAATAAATATTTTTTTCTAATTAATTGTGATGACAAAATGAGTCGTTCATTAAATATAAAAAAAGACGCATGTAACAGATTAACTTGCTCGAGTCTAATCTCTCTCTCTCTCTCTCTCTCTCTATATATATATATATATATATATATATATATATATATATATATAAAGACATTTTTTCATGCTTATACGTTCTTTTTTTTAGATACAAATATTTAAGTAAATGCTCTGTTTCTAATAAACAGTATTTACGATATTTATTGGCCTGAATGTCCGAGAAATTTTCATAGAACATACGCGTCATCCGACAGGAATCGAATCTGTATCCTATAAGGAACCGTCATATAGCCTGACGTGCTTTACCGATTTAGCCACAGAGGAGCGTTTCGGTTAGTAAGGTCGATTTTACTGTTTTAAACTATAATTCTTCATGACCTTCTCTCGTATGTCTTAAAATAATTATCGGACTTTGTCCATTTCATATATATATATATATATATATATATATATATATATATATATATATATATATATATATAAAAAGTTTAGTGGGGCTAGAATTGACAGTAACGTATAACAAATTTGTGAAGTTTGACAGTAAATTGTAGAGAATATTATAAGTAGCATCAATAATATCATTAATAAAATAGACATCATTCATAAACGAACCGGTAATTTGATTATAGATGTAGACAGATGATTTTTTATTGCTTAGAGAATTTAAAGAAACATGACGATTATATAATAAAATTAATAAAAAGACATTTTTTGCAGAAGTGTATGCCCATCTCCAAAATAAACCTTCATATATATATATATATATAGTAAAAGTTAAGACAGTTTTAATAGAAAATGTCTGAACTTACTTTTCTATTTAATCAGGACATACTCAAAAATCTATTTTCAATTGTGAACTTATATCCCCTACCTTTTAATTTCCAAAAGAGGTAATATTTTGTTTTTAAAGTTCCTAAAAATCATTTAATCACCGGTTACTTACAGTCGCCTGAAGAACTATAATCATAATACTGAAATATGAAAGCTTTTTTTTCTAGCGATTTCAAAATGTTTTCATTATAATCTCTTATAATAAGAATTTAATAATATATTGCTCTACTTTTTATTGAGCACTTTTGTAAAAGTAACATCTGTTTTGCCCTCATTTGGTTATATATATATATATATATATATATATATATATATATATTTATTATGTGTAATGTTGATATAATCTGATATATATACGGCACTTCTATTTTTAAAAGTGAGAAGGAAAAATGCTATTCACTTGTTATAATGTGGACTATGCTTTTGGTCGCAGTACCAGTTAATTCGAACGGGGATGGAATTAGAAAGAGAAAGAAGAGACGACCAAGAAATAAGGAATCCTTGTTATGATTTGAACAAGCGTCTTTTGGGTTTATTTTCTAAAAAAGTGTTGTACAAGTACAAATGAATTGGTAAAAGCATGAAACCTGTACATATATCCAATGTTTACATTCGTTTTCAGCGTCAGCTGGTGTGAATGAATATAGATGCTTAGCTTAATCTAGGGCAGGAGTCATGATAGGACAATAGTAAGTTAGTATCTATCCTTTCGAAATCAGCCCTCTCAACATCGCTTTAGAATAGGAGAAATATGAATTGAATTATTAAATTTATCTTAGATAACCTCTAGAATTAACTTTAAATCATTTATTTATATTATTTACATTATTCGTACTGTCGAACCGAACTCTTTATTTCACCCACCGGGGTAGATTGTTCTAGTTCCACGTGCCATGCCTCTTCCGAGTATCTCATTTAGTTCCCTTTAACTCAACTCTACAAGTTTTTTGGTTCACCACTGCCGTAGCCCGGTATTAAACTCACAACTCCGTGGGTCTAGTCACCTGATCTAACCAACGTTTTTACCCATTGGGTCATTTGTAAAGGGTACGATCGAAATTTCAATCACCTGAAGAAGGTCGGAGCGTACAACGGCTGAAACGTTGTGAATATGGCAATGACGAGGAGGATAACATTCAGAATAATGTAAATAATCATAATACCTCATCTCAGAGATATATAGAGAGATATAGACAGAGAAATATGATATAACGGCCGGACTGTACAACGGCGAAATGTTTTGAATATGGCAATGAAGATGAGTATAACAACCCGAATAATGTGAATAATGCAAGTCATCATAATACCTAATCTCAGAGATAGAGACAGATATATATATATAGAGAGAAATATGACATAAAGGCCGGAGAGTACAACGGCCGAAATGTTGTGAATATGGCAATGAAGATGAGTATAACAGCCCGAATAATGTAAATAATGCAAGTAATCATAATACCTCATCTCAGAGATAGAGACAGATATATATATAGAGAGAAATATGACATAAAGGCCGGAGAGTACAACGGCCGAAATGTTGTGAATATGGCAATGAAGATGAGTATAACAGCCCGAATAATGTAAATAATGCAAGTAATCATAATACCTCATCTCAGAGATAGAGACAGATATATATATAGAGAATATGACATAAAGGCCGGAGAGTACAACGCCACTGAAATGTTGTGAATATGGCAATGAAGATGAGTATAACAGCCCGAATAATGTAAATAATGCAAGTAATCATAATACCTCATCTCAGAGATAGAGAGAGAAAGAGATAGAGACAGAAATATGACATAAAGACCGGAGCCTGCAGCGGCCGAAATTTTATGAATATGGCAATGAAGATGACGATAACAGTTCGAATAACGTAAATAATCATAATACCTCATCTCAGAGATATAAACAGATGTTAAATTCTTTAATATTTTAAAAATTACTTCGATTTAAAAACTAGACATAAGTATTTTTTAACATTTAACATTATTGAAATATTATGGATATATATATATATATATATATATATATATATATATATATATATATATATATATATATA